ATCAGGAGTTGCCGCTCAGTTCTAGACCCAGTCTGCTGTAGCTGTAACCTGGTGATGACAGTCAGGAATCCTAACTTTCACCAAATGACTGTCCCTCACAGATTCCTGCCGGAGCCGAGGAGGAGAGCAGGGAGTGCAGGGAGCAGGAGTACAAGGATCGCTTCGGGATCTGTAAACCCTGCAGGCAGTGTGATGCAGGACAGGAGCTCTCAAAGGTTTGACCAGAAACAAACTTCACTTCAGGTCCCGTCTGTAAACGACAGCGTTAATCAGGATGAAAGGAACGTTGTTTCTTTCTCTTTCACTCGGAGGTCAGTGTTTGACTCCAGTGAACCAACATTATTTATCACTTCCTCTCCGTCGTACCGGGGGAAGGCCCAGCTGTTATTAGCTTTCGTCAAACACCGACCCTCCTTTAATCAGTCACACCCATGCTTTTGACCTTCTGCCGATGAATGGCCTCCATTGTTTCTCCACCGTTGCACTCCGTCCAACTGATTGTCTTCGCTGTTTGTCGGCGGCCGTGCCTAAGCTTGCTGCTGCTGCTCTCTCCAAATCAACAAAGTATTTTCCACGTCTTAGCTCTGTACAAACAGGCCTCCTGGTGTCAGGAAAGGGCTTTCCTCTCTGACAGAAACCACAGACAAAACAATGACGCACGCCACAGCCCTGTAGGTGGCGATGATGCACCTAGAGCTGCAGAGAAGGTGCACGTGATGCATTAAGTGGCATCTGTGAACGGCAGCGCTCGGCTTCAGGAAGTCGAACCGACAACCGTGACAAACAGACAGATGAACACGTCGTTTAAAATGACGTCTATGTCCATCGTTTAAGTCGTTAAAAGTCAATTAATTCAAACTGGAAAATCATGATTCTAATGTGATTTACAATTTCACAATTATAAACAATTATAAAACTAAGTGTTAACAAAGTTTGTAAGAAGAAAGAAATTAGAGTTATTGGCACTGATGCACAGCACAGCATCAAACCCCTGACCTTCCGGACACAAGGCTGCTTCCTTAACCACCGCAGCCCTGATCATGTCTCACCACGAACAAGAAATAACTGAAAGAAAACCCAGCTTTAAATGAAAAATTTTGAAGTACCAAGATTAAAATTGGTTCAAATTTGATTTTGTTTTTTAGTGTTTAACGTGTTTTACAACTTTAAAGACTGGTGTTAAAAACAACAAAGGCCCGACCCTGACATCTGTTGCACACATGCATTTAGCGCCGGTTCGCTTTAATCCGAGTGCACACAGACATGCACGCTGTGGTCGGTAACATGCTCCAGTAGTCGTCCTGTTCCACCCTGGGCTCCTGGTTAATAATTGGCTTTCTCTGAAGGTAGCGGGAGAGCGGGGTCTGCACTGAGGGAGAGAGGGAGAGAGAGAGAGAGAGCTCAGTCAGACCAAGACAATCTCTGTGAGCTGTGAAAGGCAGGAGTGCCTGCTGGAAGAGAAGCAGACATTTGGAGTCCCTCTGTGCAGCTGCCATAGAGATCCCAGAGGAATGTGGCCCAGTTTGCCTCTGGACGCCTTTCACAGACACACTGACAAACATCAGTTAGCCGCACCAGGCCCCGTGCAGCCAAAATAACCACCCACACAGAGGGAACGGCCATTAAATGGACCTCTTCTCTCTCTCTCTCTCTCTCTCTCTCTCTCTCTCTCTCGTCCACATTGTTTCCCTCTCAGGTTCATTCATTCTCAGCTGCTGAGTCGCATGTTGTGTCAAGCATGAAGGAGACATTTTTGTTCCAATGAATGCTGGAAAACGGCCAGTGGCAAAAGAAAAAGGAAAAAAAAAAAAAAAAAGGGGGGGGACAGAAAATTGTTTTGGCAAAAACTTCT